GACTGTAATATGACTTCCTGCTGTACCCATAGGATAGGGGCTGGCATACGTGATGTGCCGTGATAGCGCATTGCTGTTGTTGCTGTTCTCCTGCTGTCAAGGTGCAGGGTCCTTGTCCAAGAGTTGGCTGTGCTTTACCAGGCCTTACCAGAGCTTGGGCCTGCTTGTCTTAATGTAAATGAGACATTTTTCTGCAGTCAATTTTGTTCTTTGTTATCTGTGTGTGCCGCTGTTTTCACCTTTGTTTTGCTGCTGCTTCTGGTTCTTTTGCATACATTTCCGTTCATCCTTCATTCATGCCAGTCTTCATATTTCCATTGCAAGACTCTATACATGTGTACTGGAAAAGTTAAGGTTGTGATCAAACCCAGTTCCTGACAACATTGTTGTGTAAAATACTTTAGTACAAATATCTAAATCCAAAATAAAATAGGAAAACTTCTGCTACAAGAAGAAATAAAATGTATTTACAACAGTGGTAACTTATGATGAATTATTTCACAGCCTTTGTATTGCACAGCCCTGAGATATCTGATAGTTAATTCAATGAGCTATTGAAGTAGAAGATATCTCCTTCAGGTTCTCTAGTGACCATCAATATTAATCCTTTGACAGCACTTCGAAAATGCACAAAAAAATTAGAGCATGTTTAGAAGTGTTTTCAACTTAATGTTTCAGTAGGATGGACTTCTAAATCTTCAATTTAAAGAGCAAGTAGTCCTCGCTACAAAGTGTGATACAACCAAGCTGATGAAAAATTAAGTTAAAAAACAGACCATCTTTTTCTTGGAGTAATTGTTTATGTCAGTATACCACAAAAGCTTTCAATTTAATTCCCTTTTTACATAACAGAAGCCCATTATGTAAATAGTGCCTGACTGTGAATAGAGAAACTTGTCTGCTTACAAGCAACAACTTCTAGGACCACCAACCATAGGACCTTCCTAATTCAGCAGTGCTCTGCTCCTAAGCCTTGCTTTTCCCAAGGCCCACCAAGTCCGCACATGTAGCAGTGCTTTTGGCTGGGGGGAAAAAAAAGGGGAAATTATGAGCCATCACCAGCCAATTCTCCTCACTAATCCTGGGATAGAAAGGCCATGGGGATGAACACCATGGAGAAGGGAAGAGCAAGGAGGCGGGTGTAGGTCTCCCCTACCCCCATGCCTAGTTTGCATAGGTACTGAGCTCATAGGTACTGGGCAAGGATTGGTTTGGAAACAGAAAATAGCTATGAAAAATACTCCTGAGAAAGTAAATGCTTTCTGTAGATAAAATAAAAACAATGGCTGCCTGCAGGGGAAAAAAAAAAAGAAATGTAAATAGGGTAATTCATGTGGAAACAGTGATGCTGACAGTTTCCATTAAGTTCTTTAGAAAATCTCTTCCTGTGAAGAATGTCCTGTCTCTGACTTGCTGCTCCAATTCAGGACAGAGAGAGAAAGTTGTCCGTAATTTAATGATACGTCTTCTGGGAAGGTATTTGCATTGTAGGACTGGCTAGAGCTGAGTACACCTTGTACAGATTTCTCTGCTGTGCAGCTGTAGCACATCAGGCTGTTAGACAGGCAGCATGAGTAGGAACATCTGCTGCAGAGTGGCTGCGGTGCTTGCTGGAGGGTTTCTCATCTTGGACACCTTTTTCCACAGAATGTATACGTAGCAGTTAGCGTGGAAAACTCTATCCCCTTTGGTCAAATTTGGTTGAATTTAACCAGCAGGTTAAAATTGTAGTGGAAGAGGTGCTAGGATGGATCTATGACCTCAGTGCAGCAGTTTAGTTGCTTTGTGAAATGAAGTTAAAGATAGCAGGAAGATAAGGCATCCAGGTCATAAGAGCTGTCAGGAGGGAAGGTGGGAAGGCATCCTTTCATGAAAGCCCTGGCACAAAGAGGATTTTATAGCAGTGGCCATTATGCTTTAAATCTGTTTTGAGCAGTGGGATGTATGGAAATGAACAAGCTTACAGCATTTGGAGTGGGGAGGAAGGGCATGATTTCCACATCGTCCTGGTGCACATCTGGCTGGCGGAGCGGCTACATGACGCACGAGGCAAGGGAGAGAACGCCAATGTTGCTATCATTTTGGTTTTGCTCCTTCTTAGGAATGGGTGGCAGCAACCACTTCTGATGGTTTCTAAGGCTTTTTCAGTTCCAGGCCCACATGAACGAAGAAAATAGTCAAATAGGATTTTGGAAGCTCTAAAAACCTAAAAAGCAACCACTTGTTCCTTTAGGAAGGTTTCCAAAACAATGGCTGGCAGTAAGAACAAATGATCCAAATATATTTCCAGAAAAATTTCTTAGCTGTAGAAGTAAGCACGGATTTTACTGATCATATGGTTTGAATTCAAAATGATGCCCAAACTTTTATAGCTCCCACTGGATTCTTGAGGGTTTCCCTGTTTGAGGTTCTTAAGAGCGCTGGGTTGCCAAAATGCTAGTAGTGTATATTTGGGATGGTTAAAGAGCTGTGGACATTTTTCTCTAGCCTGTTACATAAAGATATAATCTGTAGAATTATTTGAAAGATTAGCATTGTTGTCACAGACAATTGAATATAAATTTATTTATAAATGGGGAAAACCAAGCTAAGACTCTCACACAAAGTATGTTGTAAATTGGGAGAAGTATTGGAAACAGTGTTTTCTGGCAACCACACATTATTCAGTGGGATGGTTCTTTTTAATCAATTGTCCAGCGTTTGCCTCCCATACTTGATGACAAATCTGATGTTGCATGCTTGCCACCACTCTTGTCCGTATTTTCTGTCCATCACGGAAAAAGGAAAGATGGCTTTGAACTTCTGGCCCGTTGGATCCTGATTCAGACTGCCTGTATGACTTGGAGCAGGAGACTAAGATCCAAGTACACAGAAAGACCTGGGTGACAAAACAGGATTTATTAGGGGAAACGGCGATCTAGATTATCACTTTCTAGGGACAGTTTATGTATGTTTAATCAGCTACCACAATGACAGATTCCAAACAGGCGGAAGAGAGGAATTCACAGCTACAAAACACTTGCCTGCAAGAATCCAGCAGCCCTAGCCAGGCTACTCAAGCCAAACTATTGCTATCAGAGAAGTGTTTTCTGGAGCAAGAAAATAGTTAAAAATTCATGAGGGCATTTGTTGTGGTTGCACATTAAGGAGGAACATCTCCCAGATTTTCATTTATTTTCTTAGTTTTGGTAGTCTAGGACTAGATCCGTCATTTCTTCAAGTGTTCTGGTTAAGACAGTTGATGCCCACTGGATAGGTTCTCTCTTCCGTTTATTTGTACCACCTTTCAATATGAACATGCGCGTTAGTTCTCCGTTTCACCAATTATCCCCTATGTATCCCTGGGTCAAGAGTAGTAATAGCTGGAGAAATGTTGTCTCTGTTTTGGGCAAGCGATAAGGCATGATACATTCTATGTGACTCATGTTTGCAGCATTGTAACCACATACAACGTTTGCTTGCTCCTGTGACTCTATTGTTGGTGACACATTCAAATTAAAAGGATTTTAATTTTAATTTAAAATTTCAAAAAGGAAAGTGAAATTTTCCTGAGGTATCTGAGGATCAAGTTAGCTACTTAGATAAGCAGTACACAGGTTAACACCCTTATTTCACACTATAACGATATGTAGTCCACTACTTTTAAAATATGGAGAAATACCTCCTACAGCATTTTCTGTCACGACAGTTCCTTGTAACTTTGCCTCCTAATCTTCTTGTCCTGCCTGGAGCTGCTGGCACTCAACTGCAGGCCTTTTGATTTTAACATGCCCCTGTAACAGTCAACCGCAACCAGTCAATGGTGTTTTTAAATCTGATGATTTAGTTTGTTGCAAATCTCAGTTACTTGCTTCTGGACCTACCTGATCAGATACTCTGTGTCATCTGAGGAAACTCAATGAAGTCAGTCTGTGCCGTATCTGTATAAAGTATTGATGATAGATGTTTCGATTGTCGCATTTTAGGATAGCTGTACACTTTGTTTTCTCTTTGCATAATGTTTGAAAGATAATATGAATTACAGCACTGTAGTGGCCCGCAGTTGCTGGAATTTGAGTGGTTTGGAAGGCACAACAGGATTTGATGACTGCACATGGGCAAGCAATAAAGTGCTTGGCTCTCTTCTCATCCAGTAGTCATTTGTCTACCATACCCACCTAGGAAGAGGTGCAGTTCCAATCCAAAAATTTGCTATGACAGTAGGGTATGAGGTGCAAACAGAGAGGACGTGTTCTGCTTTCCTGAGGGTTGATTCAAATGGTTTCCCTTTATAGTGGAGAAACCACAACCTAAAACCGTCCATCAGAGAGCGATAGGTGTGGGAGGTTATTGCAGAGTGATACAGGAAGGAGAGTGGAACTGAGCTGTTGGCTGTGAACACCATTTTAGGTTTTGGCTCAACTTTCTGCTGTAAGTGATTGCGATAGTAAGATGTGGAAGTCAAAGAAGGATTGATGGCTGTTTTGATATGGTCAGTGCTTCCAGAACCGTGGCACCTTTGTAGCCAACTCATTATTGCAAGGGGATTTTCTGGAATGCCAGAGATTAACTATTTTATATTACCTCATCTGTATGTCTCATCTCTTAGTGGTTTTGAGAATGGGAATACTCCAAGCAGAGAAACACTGTTATTTTCTTGTCTATCATGGGTACCCCATGACTGGATTTGATTAGACTTTTTTGAGGACATAGACCTCAAACTTCACGAATCTTATGAGGTATTACTGGTCATGGGAGCACTGAAGTCTCAGGTTTTTACCTGGGTGTCATGTATAACACTTGCAACGAGTAAGAATGATGCTTAGAAATTTTTCTGCTATAATACCAAAATCTCAGAGGCCCGGAATTAGACTGCCTGAATTTTTTCCTCTTTAATTAAACAGCCATGATATCTTGCTCAGAGAATTAGTATGGATAGTGTGCCCAGTATGGGATGAGTGTTTTCTGCAGGGACACTGATTAATATAATTCACAGGGAGTTTTGATCCGAGTCTACGGCAATGGGTAAGAAAATGGAGAAAAATCAAATGCAGATGAGAAAATGGAATGTTACGTATGGTAAAATAAAGAAACAGACGTTGGCTTAATGACATCCAAGAAACACTTCTAATCAAGCTCCAGGATTCCAGAGTGTTAATCTCATTAGTTTCATATTATTATCCAACTGTCAGCTCCTGGACCCTTATGGAATCACAGAAATTCATGTCAGATAGTGAATCAAGTTAGAAATTTAAATTAATTATTGAAAAATAGCTCCAGATTCTTATTTGAACTTGGTTGTGATTTGCTATACTGAATTACTGACTCGCCAAATTCTCTTTTAAACAGTTGCCTCTCATTATGCTGCTGAAGAAGTCCAGGTTTTTCCATAAAACCTGAAGATGTATTTATTTTCAGCAGGGATTACCATTCCTGCCAGTGGAATCCCAGTAGTTTTGGCTAATTGTAATATGGCTGTAAATATGTGATTTCCATGGAAATTAATTTAGTCACAGGAATTTTTGTCCTTTTTTTATATTCATGGCTTTGCTTAATGTGGTTGCCAAACACATCTATGGTTTAAAGAAAAACTCGATTAACATTAGAGCAGATTATTTATACTGAATTGCTCAGTATACATATGTATTGCTTTTCTGGATGACGCAGGAACTGCTTGACTGTCTGTCTTGGATTTGTGCTGTTGGCAGATAAGGAAGAACCTTCTTTAGCTCAAACAGGACGTGTGCTGTTGAGATCTTTCCCTGTTAGACCCTGGTGGTAATAATTTCATAGCAACACCTTAATGCAATATTTTTTTTAAGTTTTAATCAAATGGGTCCTTAGTCTGTGCAAATTGCCATTACGTTTATTTAAGTTTAAAATACGTTTTTTTTAAAGAACTTTTCTTGTAACATTATTCCAGGGTGGGATAATGTTTATGTGATATTTCCAGATCCAAACTTGTACAGACAGTTTTAGTACTAACCCTATATTTTAAACGTTTCATGTTTTACTTTTTTTTTCCCATATGAGATTGACAGTATTCAAGTTATGTTTTTTTCTTCCTGTTGCCAGTGTGCTATGAGCTTGAATTCAGTCTTTACATACTTTTTGTCTAGAAATGTCTTCAGTGTTTTTTGGGTTTTTATGGGGTTTTTTAAATTTTGTTTTTGTTTTAAGAAAGTATTTGAAAACGCCATATGGGAATGTTAAGCAAGGAATCCAGAGACAGTACTATTATGAAATGCATATAAAGACTGGAGGATGCATAGCAGTAATATTAAATTAATTTAACTTATTGTTAACTTTCATTTTAGGAGTAACCTTATTGGCACACCAGGGCAATTTTTTACTTGTAAGGTATTGGCATATGAGTCTAGTGCCCAGAGTCTGGAGTTTCCTTATTTTAAAAAAAAAATACTCCTGTGTTCCTCTCTTCGATAATTTTTAGATGTATTTGAGATGCCTTATGCCTGTTGGAGTCAACATAGGCACATACCTACACTAGAAAAATGCTGTTGTTTGCTCCCTGTTGGTAGTGCAGGCTTGGTACGCAGTGGGTCCAAGGCAGCAAGGTAACACAGTGAACTGTTTCCAAGAAATGTCGTGATTGGCATTAACTTTGAGGCTGTTACCACAAGGTTCATCAAAAGTTACTTACCCGTGCTGTTGAACTGACTTAGATAGTCATATCAGCTAAATGGTAGAAATTGTTCATCTGATGCAACTGCATACTATATTTTCAAAATATATACAGATTTCAAAGTACTATAGGAAATGTCAATTTGAATTGTTTCATTAGCTACAAGGATGAGAAAACATTGAAATGGATGATAACATTAATTCTTAGCGTACTGTTTAAGAAACCTCTAGTATTCATATCAGAAAATCAGTTTTGACAATCCAGTGAAACAGTAGATGTAAGAAATGTAGATAACCTTGTTTCTGCGTATACCCAGAGTTTTAGTGTATGTTAGCCAAGTGTAACTCGATTCAAATTTGCAGCTATCACTTTTCTTCCTTAGTGTTCTCACATGTTTATCATTTGTCTAGGTTAACTGTTTTTCTGATCGATACCTCTTCCATAATAAGAAAGGTTAAGTATCGCTTTGTGATACTGCTGCTGACCTGCATAATGACAATAAAATAAAATCCATGTTCTGAATGTGTTACCTTTTTACTACCTTCCTTATGGGGCCAATTTTTTTTTGCTCACTAGCTGATTGCTCAGCGAAGACTTCTATTGAGATGTCTGCAGAGAGATGAAGGCCTTTTCCCCTGATCTTTTATTCTTAACTTAGAACTGAGTAAAGCGTATTAGTAGTCTACTTATGCCTTCTAGATAATTTGTATGAATGTGAAGATATAGAATATAACAAAAACATCTCTGTAGATGTATATTACACTTGTATTCAAAATATGACTGCAAATGTTAATAGCTTTTTAATATACAGTTATGTATTATTTTTAATGTAATGCACAATTTTTTGTCTTTCTAGGTATGGCATGAACTGCCTCATTCAATTTGAGGATTTTGCTAATGCTAATGCATTCCGCCTCCTGCATAAGTACCGTAACAAGTATTGCACTTTCAATGATGACATTCAAGGTAACAGACTCTTTCTTTTCACTCTTGTGATGCTCACAAGCCAGAAAAATGAGTCTTAATTGATGTACCAGAGGGAAAAAAAAGTATCGGCTTTCCTGTGGTATTTGAAGATATTCAGTCCAGGTCACATTTTGCCTTGGGTTTCCTTAGCATGGGTTTCTGGTGAGCTGTCTTTGCTCTTAACCTTTCCCCTCTCATTTATGCCTCATGCTTTATTTAGATGTTCGCTCTTCAGGGGCTTTTTTAGTAGTTCAGTGTGTGAACGGCTTTCCCATATAAATTATTAACTTCAGACCTTTGGGCAAATGTCAAAGCTCAAGCCTGGACTGTACTTCCCTCAGTTTTTTTGTCACTGCGGTGACAACTGCTCCGCTGTTCCTCCATGTGACAGAGCTTGCTTGATAAATGTCAAACTGTATTTCAGTTCTTAAACTGACAACTCAGTTAAATATCCTTCTAATTTTCCTTGCAGTCTCAGGGCTGCATTCAATTTTAGAGGGGAATTATCCCCCTGACTCTGTTTTCCCATCTGAATCATTTGGAGCAGCTGGCAAAGGGAAAAGATCTAGGATGGGAAATGTCAGCAAGGGGGATTCCCTCAGTGCTCAATCTAGACGGGCATCTTGTCCCTTCCCTCACGAGAAGAAAGACAAGCAGGGCTGAAGTGGTGGATGCTGCTGCTTGGGTTGCCTTATTTCTTGTCAGGAGAAGAGCACAGGAAAATAGCTTTCTCTAGGGCAGTAAGTGCACTGGCTCCTCTCCTTGCGAGGAGACTGCAGTCAGATGAACTGCTGGAAAGAGGTACCCAAGGAGGGCACTGGGTACCCAGCTGCCTCTTGCCTCCTCATGTTGCCTTGGGTAGATGGAGGTCCTCAGCAGTGCCAGGATGAAAAATAGGAGTTTAACTGTCTTCATTTCTAAGTATGCAGTGACACTTTAAGCCAAGCATTAGGAGCTTGAGTTTTCCAGAAGTCAGTCTTGAGTCATTCTTGGGACCTAGGTCTTATTTCAGGGACTCAACGCATAGCGGTGGATTCAAATAGCCCTCATCTTTCTGATGTTAGGGATTTGGCTAGCCACATGAACTATGTTTCTGTTACAAGCCTGGCTGAGTTTTACTCCTGCATCTGAAACAGATTATGGAGGACAAACTCCCAGATGGGAAATAAACTAATTATAAAATGTCATTTCCCTTTGTAAGAAGCGTGGTGCTTCTTACCCTGCAGAGTCTGAGTGTAGTCATGGCTACGACAGTCCAATGCAGCAGACCAAACAGCATCTGGAAGTTTCCCTAGTTGTTTAGAGACCTAGCTCCCACAGGGAGT